AATATTATTTTATATTTATTAACAATAATTGCACATGTTAAATTGCACTTTGTTGCAATATGTATGTTGTAAAATAACTTCATTTTTCTATTTATAATAGCAAATTAGTATTCTTTTTAAAATAATTAGTTATTAGTTTAACATATGCAAATATATTATTAATATACGAAATAATATTTTTTAGCCAAAAAAACATTATTAACTAACTTACACTGTTAGAAACAAATTTGGAAAAAAGAAAAAAAAAGTTAGCGAAAATCAAGTCTCGAATACGGGACTTCGAATCCGCTAGGCACTCGCCTTACTCGATTAAAAGCGCTTGTTTCTGAGCATTAGCCGTCCGCAATGTGTTTACGTCGGCTCGATGGTAGCAAGACAGAGACGTCCGCTCTCTCTCTATAGCCGAACGGCCGAGCGCACACAGACGCGTGACGTAAGCGCTTCTTACTTGTGTTGGGGCACGAGAGCCGCGAGCCCGGTAGTAGATATCGCATCACTGACTGAAACATAGATTTTTAATAATATTTTCAAGGAAATCTTTCGAAGAGAAATATTATAGTAAACTTACCAAGACCGAGAGGTGAGAGGCACAAAATGGTTATAATTGTACTTCTTGACTTATTCACAAAACTGAATATGTAGTCAAGAAGTAAAACGTTAATGCCAAACAATTGCAAGATCAATATTGTGCATACTGAAAGAATGTAAAATAATAATTTAGAGATACTAAAACATAATATTAATTAATCTCAACACTTCGCGGTTTGCTGATATAAAAATCTAATAAAATTGAAGCACTTTGATCAGTCATAAATATATTTATATGTAATAAATTCGATTCGCGATGGCTGAGAACCATCGACGATTCGCAATGTCGAAATAGACGCGAAATAGTTTGCTGTTAGAGAGTTGTCCGCAAAGTGTTAATTTAACTTACAATACTTACGTATTTCTACTCTGTGGTATAGACGAATATCAAGTATAACATCCATGACGTAAAATCCTAAAGTAATTAATGGTACGCTCATCGTGTATATCAAATAATCAAAAGCAAACAATCGTTGCCCAATACGATATTGACGTGACACCGGTCATACGTTGCAGTTGTTTAACTTTCGTTGTCAGTTTCCTGTAAAGGATGCACTACAAAAAGCGCCACAGTAGGGAAGAAGAACGAACAGAATATCAAAACGCGCGAAAGCGATTCCGCTCCTGGCATTTGTATTCTAGTCGAGGCAAGCGTGTTTGGTAATGCTTGTCGAGATATAAGAATCGAATGTTGGTCGCCAGCAAAAGCTTTGATAAACGAATTACTCAAAAGATTGACTGTTAGCGGCACACTATGGATTGCTAAACCAGAATACAATCCATTAACCAATGTTTCATTTCCAGTTGCATTAAATTCAGCAGATACGATAAAATTGTTGCGATATTCCGCAATATTCTCCGTAGAAACATTCAGAAGAGCTAAAAAAAAGCAAAAAATTGAAAAACAATCTATCGTTTAAATAAATTTATTGTTAAGTTTAATTTAAGATATCGAAGTTTAACTTAAGATATTGAAAAATCACTTAACACTTACCATTTATAACATTTATATCTGGAGCTGTGCGCTCTGCAGATATTCCGCCGAAATATTTAATCGTATCTCTGTATTTCTGGCCCATTGTATCTTCGTTCGAAGAATAGAAAGCTTTTGAATGTCTGTACATGTCAAGTTGTAATGGAATTATATCTGTAGAATCCTTTGGCAAAGTAAAACTTAAACCATTAAAAGATACTGCGATGATAGGAAGAATTAACTAGAAAAAATTAGAATAAAAAATGTTAAAAAATGTTTAAAAAAATAAACAATGTAAAACATAATGCCAGCTATTTTTGCATTCATAAAATTCATATTGCATCTTTGTATTCGTAAGATAATTGCTCGGGAGAAATACTTACGATCACCAGCAAATTACTTATATTCTTTTTTGTATATGTAAATTTTTTCCTGAATAATGCCAATATTGATTGTATGAATAGCGCGCTGCCTGTAATTTTCTCTAATGGCGATGTAAATAATTCATAAAGATGTGTTCCACTGTCCTTTTTCTTTACTATCCTGTAATAAGCCGCAAAAAAACAAAATCAATATCAATATATTCATATTTATCAATAATGGTGTAAAACAAGTTTCAGAAAGCATACTTCAAAAATACTTGTTCCAAAGTAATCAACGATACGCTAATTCCTGTAATTCCCAAGTTTTTCTTTTGACTTACTACTTTATCCAGTGATTGTGGTAGATCATCGTTATAAGGTACATTTAAAATAATTTTTTCACTGTCAACGGAAAGTTGTTGAGTTTGCGCATCAAATTTACTTATGACTTGGCCAGGAATGCACCACGACTTTGTCGATAATGTAACTTCTATGTGCCCGTGACCTAGAACAAAGAGTTGTAATTTATGCAAGAAGTGCGCGAAATAATATATATCTTACCATATTGTTTCTTCAGAAACATTGCAGTGCCGTAACATCTAAGACGACCTGCATGCACTATCGCGATTCTATCGCCAAGTATATCAGCCTCTTCCATATTATGTGTACTAATTAATATTGTCTTTTCTCCTTAAGTTTCTGTACAAAAATATAACACAAGATGTATATATACTGCAATGTATCAGACATGTCTATAAATCATCTCATTGAAACAAATCAATTTAAATTTACTTACTAATAGAGCATCCCATGTATCTCGTCTGGTTTCAGGATCCATTCCCGATGTTGGCTCATCCAAGATTATAATCTAAAAGTAAATTTAATTTTTTTAAATCCATACGTGCAATGCACGTTGTAACTGTGTCACAACTTACATTAGCATCACCAATGAGCGCCATTCCAAGACACAATCTTCTTTGTTGACCACCGGAAAGTTTGCTAGGAAGAAAACTTCTCTTTTCAGAAAGCTTCAATTTAGAAAGTAAAATATTGACATCCTCTTTGATTTGCTCCTTGGTTTTAGTTGTAGCTTTTAACTGAAATGACATAAAAATCGCAAT